CTGGCACACACACAACAGTTAAGTCTGAGGTCACCCCAGATGAGGTTTCTTGGAGGACTCTAACTGGATCCTGGACTCAGACCTTGCCCACAGGACAAAAAACACAGGATGTGTTGTCCGACCTTACAGTGCTTATATCGGGGCTGGGCCTGCTCAGTTGCTGATGCCTGTGTGATGGACAGCATGCCCAGAAACACATCGGGAATATCATGGCCAATTCATTGCAGCAAGGAAGGTCAATTGCCTTGTCAGAGGATGAAAAGCACAAGTTGGACCACTCTCCTGGCCAAGCTTTGCAGCACATTCCTGAACCTGTGGATGCACTAAAGTTGACTGTACCAACCAACAGATCTTGTAAAGATCTTCTCACCCTGAAGCAATAAAACCAACAATTATCAAACTATCAGAACTATCAAACCCACTCAAGTTAGCACCCTTGAACACTCCCCTCCTCCTTGGGGTCTCTAGGGTGTCATCAAAGACTTCCCCCATCCCAGGGTATGACTCAGCCTCACAGCTCACAGCAAGATCCCCTCCTCCTCCTCCATTGCCAGCATAATAGGAAAAAAATTGAAACATTTGTCCCACCCACCTTCCTCCATACTTTGACTCTCCCTACTCTAAAATCCCGCACACAGGGGCCTAATCCTCTCAGTTATGAAAACAAATTAAGAAGAAAATAAAAATTTAGAAAATAAAAAAGGAATCTAAATATAATTTTTCCAGCTTCAATAAAAAGTTCAGACAACTTAACTGATGTAAATGTCATCATTGTGACATTATTAAAATTTCCCACAGATAAAGATCTATTGTTGGTTTAGCCATTTATCCACACTATAAGATTTAGCCATTTACCCATAGTTATTTCTAGCACGATAAACTTGGGAGTCATATCATTCAATCTACTCATTTATGCCTGTTAAAAAGTTTAGATTCAAATTAGGATTGTACTGAATTTAACAATGAAATTGGAAGTAGTATTGAGCTCTTTGTAAAACTGAGTCTTTCTCATCATGAACATGAAATGTCTCTATTTATTTATAACTTCCATTATATCTTCCTGTACAGTTCTATATTTTTTCATGTTGCTCAATACTCTTGCTTATTTCCATGTTCAACAGTTTTCAAAGGTTGAATGAAACTATTCCAAAATGGTCGTGCTTCAGCCATCTTAACTGTCTATAAGGTTATAGCACTGCTTTTTAAAATGTTATTTGCTTGAACTCACAGAATTGGCACTACAGGAAACTTGCTGCAAAGGCAGATTTGTCAGATCACACCAGACTGAAACAAAAACTCTAGGTGTTTGGCCCACAAATCTCTAATAAGCCTTCCAGGTGATTCTCCTATAGGCTCAAAATGAAAATCAAAAGGTTAGAAGAAATGGAAAGAGGAGTAAGCCAGTAAAATATCCCAAGCAAAAAGCCACAAACTCTCAGGAAAAAAGAAGCCAAGAAAGATGAAGCTAATAGTACCTGACAGTAGCGACCCTACTACACAGCATGCTACTCCAATTTAGGATAGAAAGAAGGAAACACACAGGAACCACACCATGTAAGGACTGTGGGCAGCAACACCAAAACTGCTCTTAGAACCAACAGAATTTGTGCATGTGATGTACAAGTTCATTGTTCATTACTCTCCTTACACATTTACTGAAAATTACCATTTATATAAAACATATACAAACAGGCAAGTTGTGAGTTTAAATGAAAGCATAAGAAATTACAGAAAGCCAACACTCTTCAGTAATGCTTTCTATTGCACTAGAACTGAAAAAGAAAGTTTCTAAAGTAGTTAGCTACAATTGTATATTTATAACTCATGAGAAAAAAAGAAAAAGCTAATTTTTTTTTACCGATTTTACGTTACATTTATTTCAAGGAATACAGTCTAAAGCAAATTAGAGCTAAAGCTCTAAAACTAAATAAATATAAAATATATATAACATGTAAACATAAGCATTTATAATTTAAACAAGCTTTAAGATTTCTGAACTAAAGATAGAAGAGAATTAATTCTCACAGAATCTAATCAAATTCCCTTTGACCACTGATGACAAAGTTACACGTTCCCTCTTCTCTTTAATACATTTATTTTGGGAGTAAATTGTACATCCACATGGAAAGCAACAGTTTCGATAAAGAGAACAGAGGCTTTGGAGTCAAATCTGAATATAAATCATTTCAGCTTTTAATTGATTAGTGTGTCATTAAGCAAACTGACTTTTAGGAGCTTCAGTTTCACATCCTTTAAAGAAATTCAATGACACTTTCATCATGAGTATTTTGAAAATCAAATAAAAAAAGACACTAATTCATGAAATATTTGGAATGCCAGGTCTAAGATAGCAGTCCTGTTAAGTCTAACCATAAGTCTCACTCTTTTGCCACTCTTCTGAGTAATAACAGCCCCTTCCTTCAGTTCACTGATTTTTCTTAAAGCTTTAATATAATTTCACATTTATTAACTAAAAATGGGATACTATTTACAAGATTTGGCAACCTAAAGACCTTTCCCTGGAACACATTTGCATCTCATGTATTTTTCTGAACTTTTTTCAGAATTTTCAATTTTTATTGAAAAGAAAGATTTACAGAAAGAAGGACAGACAGAAAGATCTTCTGTCCACTGGTTTACTTCCCAAGTGGCTGCAACAGCTGAAGCTGAGCCGATCCAGAGCCAGCAGCCAAGAGCTTCCTCTGGGTGGCCCACATGGGTGCAGGATCCCAAAGCTTTGGGCTATCCTCCTCCGCTCTCCCAGACCACAAGATGGGAGCTGGATAGGATGTGGAGCAGCCAGGACACAAACTGGAGCCGCTATGGGATCCTGGGCATTTGAAATGTAAGGATTTAGCAGCTAGGCTACCATGCCGGGCCCTGAACATTTTCAAATACTTGAAATTCCAGTGCCATAGAAGCGACTGGAATAGGAAAACAGGAGACTAAGGTTCTAGTTTTACTAATTTCAGGCAGTAGCTTGGCCTTGATCTCCTTGGACTGGGTAAAACAAGGGTGTTAGAATAGATAATCTATAAATGGCCTCTTGGGACTTTATAATTCTATAACTTCAACTTTTGAAGAATTGGTTTGGATGCTCAGGCTTAGGAATAAACTGAATTTGAGAAGGAATGCTCAAGATAGAAAAGACAAATTAACAAGAAAATTAGGGAACAGCAAATGAGTAATCTAGCTCAAAACTACCATTCGTTACCCATGTAGTTCTGGTACAATTGTGTCCAAAAATGTTCTCTTGTGTATAAATATTTGCAACAGGATTTTTATCTTTGGTAGCAAATATGACCTCAATCTTAGTCCTTCTGGAATACCTGCTCAAGAATGACAGTTTCCTGGGACTGGTACAATGGTGTAGTATGTTGAGCCTCTACCTGTTGTGCCAGGAGCCTTTAGGGTGCTGGTTTGTGTCCCAGCTGATTCATGTCCAATCTGGCTCCCTGTTCATTGGCTGGGAAAACAGCAGAAGATGGGTTCCTAAACCCACATGGTGACATGGAAGAATCACCTGTCTCCTGCGTTTAGATCAGCTCAGCTCAGTTCCCTCCATTGTGGCTATTTGGAGAATGAAACAGTGGATGAAAGAGTTCTCTCATTCTCTCTTCTTTTCTCTCTGTAAATCTGCCTCTCAAATAAAAATAAATAAATCTTAAGTTGCTTTCACACTCACGATAATGACTACGGTGGTGGGTGGCTATTATCTTCATAGTTTGTAGAAGTGTTATTTCTACCAATCTAAGTCATGTCTATGGTTAGAGTCTGATTTATGAGGGTTAACAAGATAATCTAAACAACTTTCTCGTTTCCCTCATGTCACACAGTGAATTGTAACAGCTTTCAGACAATACACTTGGCTAACCATTTCTCTTTCCAAGGAAGGCTGCAGTACAAATATTTTTACTTACTTTCATTTTCAGATGGGGTTTATTAATTAGGAAATAACAGTATTACTCTAGTTCCTTATGGAAGACCAAGAGATCTGGCAAAAGCATCAAAATATGAGTAAAAGTTTAGTTTTAGCCTAGGATAAGAGCGTGTATTTTCACTGAGACTATCTGCCATTGGTTTGTTTGTATGCATCACATCCACTGTATCCTCATAATTTACAACAGCTACACTGAAATACCAAGTCAGTATGGGATTCCATGAAAATTAGTATGAGCATTTAACATTGCACATTTGTTTCTCATTACCTATATGCTCAGCAATCTAGCATGTCAACTACAGTTGAGTTAGAGGGTGAGAGAGGAAAACTACCTTCTATAAATGATATTTGGATTTTTCTATAGCTAACTAATAAAACACTGACAAAGAACCATTTCTTCAGCCTCCCAATTTTTCTAACCTGCACAAAGTATTTTCTGCAGCATTAAATATGCTCTCAAAATAAGCAAAAGGCAGTTTCTTAAAAATCTCTCATTGTGTAATCTGTAAATTTATTAAAGATTCAATCAGAATTTGCGAATGTACCCGTCATCTAGATTCACAATAAATTTTCTTGTTCATGTGTGTTTTATAACACTTGGCTGTCATAGCAAACATTTACATTAGTTATGACACATTAGCTTCTATTTCTTTGATCTTTCTGATCAAACCAATCATAACTAATTTCTCAAGAGTACATTAAAAAAATCATGAAGCTTAATGCTAAAGAATTGTGCAGTACCAAAATTCAACCTCAGTCTCTTGGTTGGGTTTCTTTTGAATATTCCTACTTGAAAAATAAGTCTCAAATACTTTTATGTCAAGCTTTTCATAAGTGTGTATTTTTCAGTTGTCTGAGAAACACAGTTAATTAAACTGGCACTAGGTAAAAACCTCCAGCAGATCAAAACATCAGGAAGAAAAACCAAAGAGAAAAGATTTACCTTTCATTGTAAAAGTCAAATAAAAAACCTACTCAGTGAATAATATATCAAAATGGCTTTATGTTATGAACAAAACAAAAAACTAAGATGAAAATAAAGACAAAAGCTTAAACTTACTGGGTTATCTGTGGAATCATCAGCCAACTGTAAACCAAAATAGTCTCGCTCAGTCAAATCAAGATGCTTGAAGACTATATCCAACAGAACTTGCCCTTGATCATGTTTCTGAAAGGGAAGAAAGAACAACTCACATCGGATAGGCTGCACACCTGACACATTTTCATCCTCCTCAATTACACTGGAACTTGTTTCCGTATGAGTAACTTGAAAATGAAGATTTTACATGTGATAGAGTACTTAAAAAACTTACTTTACGCAAACATGAAGATAAGACAATTTTTACCTTCAGGCTATTACGGTATTTTGTTCTTTCATATCATTATTGCATTAACTCATTCACCTATTCATATTATTTTCCTAGGTTTTCAATTATTATATTTAAACTATGAACAGAACACATTTGATAAAATACAACTATGCATAAAATAATGCCACAAAAAGGGAAACAAAGATGATGACATTTATTTGAAGCAAATTTGATAAAGGACTAATACTTGAGTTACAAAGTATTCAAAGTGTCACATTTTAATCTCACCATCATTATGTTCCCCTATTATATTCCCCTATCGTAATCCTCTGTCATAATCACTGCAACATCACCAAAATCTAGTCATTAATTTCCACTCTGTGACAGCAAAGACATAATTCAGTAATTCCTTTAAAAAAGTAATACAAATAAATACAAACACAGTGACAAAAGAAATGTAAATGGAAAATTACAATGAATGCCACAAGCAAACAATGACAAAAAAAATCCAATGATTAATATTGAACAAAACACATACTGCTACCTGGTATTAACAAATGTAGGTTACACAGACAAAAAGGGACCAACTCCAAGGCCCAGCGTGACAGACTAAGTGACTAAATCTTCATCTTGCAGGTGCTACAATCCCATATGGGCACTAGTTTGTGCCCCGGCTGCCCTATTTCCCATCTTCCCTGCTTGTGGCCTGGAAAAGCAGTAGAGGATGGCCCAAATCCTTGGAAACCTGTAACTATGTGAGATACCTGGCTACTGATTTTAGGTCGGCTCAGCCCTGGTCATTGCAGCTACTTTGAGGAATGAACCAGTAGATGGAAGATCTTTCTTTATATTTGTCTTTCCAATAAAAATAAATCAATTTTAAAATAAAGGGGTCAGGGATCTCTAGTACATTGTGGGAGCTATAAAAATTAGTGCAATCATTATACAAAACAATATGAAAACTGCCCAACATTATAAAAACAGAATTAATACATGACCCTGCCATTTCATAGAATATATCCAAAGGAAACAAAATCATATGAAAGAAATACCTGCACCTCCATGTTTAGTACAGCCCAATTCACAGTAACAAGGATATGAAATCAATTTAAATGTCCATCAACTAATGACCAGTAAAGAAAATGTGGTATATGTACATGATGGAATACTATTCAGCCACCAAAAAGAATGAAATCCTGAAATTTGCAACAAAATGAATGGAACTAAAGATCATGGATGCTAAAGAAAATAAACTAGATAGAAAGAAAAATTCCACATGCTTTCTATCATATGGGGAAGTTAATACATAAATAGTGCAAACAATGTTTGCATATGCTGTATTATTTGGTATATAGTCTCTATAATGTTATTCTCACTGATTTTTACTGTTTACATAGTAATACCCACCTCATTTCTCACTTTATGATCCTTATCAGTAAGCCCATATTATGTGATGGTCCTATCCCTGCTTTCAAGAAAAGCTGTATAGCAGAGGCCAGTGTTGTAGCACAGCAGTTTAAGCCACCACCTGCAAACACTGGCATCCCGTATGGGTGCTGGTTTGATAACCAGCTGCACAACTTTCAGTCCAACTCCCTGCTAATACAGCTGGGAAAACCCTGGATTTGGCAGGCAATTAAGAAGTGAACCAGTTGAGGGAATACACCTTTCTGTCTCCTCTCTCTGTTTGCTTTTTAAACAAATAAATGAATATTTAAAGAAAAAATGTTATCTAAATATTCTTTTCATATGAAGTGAGCATGGCAAAATGTTATAGTCATTAAACATTAAATCCATGTATGTTGACTAAACTCTTCTCTAAGCTTTTCCATAATATTTGAAGTACTTCAAAATAAACAGCCAAAAAAATTGCTTGATGCTTTTAAAAAAATTATAATTATCTGAAATACCACTTAGGTATACATAAAAAAAAAATCAATAAGGATTCCTGAAAGTAGATGTCTGAATTACTTCACTCAAAGTGGGACAACATGACAGAAAATACTATGAACCTTTGTAAATAAACATTGTAGTACCAATAGCAACCACTAAAAAGTAGCCCTACAGACACTATCACAGGTGAGCACTGTGGCTCAGCAAGTTACGCCACCACTTGCACAATCTGGAGTGCCAGTTTGGGATGGCTGCTCCGCTTCCAATCCAGTTTCCTGATTTGGATGATGATTCAGTGCATGGATCCTGGCTACTCATATGAAAAGCCTGAGTGTACTTCCAGGCTCTTGATTTTGAACTGGCCCAATTCTGACTATTGTAGTCACTTGGGGAGAAAAACAGCAGATGGAAGATGTGTCTCTGTCTGTCTCTGGGACTCTGCTTTTCAAACAAATGAAAATAAATGAAAAAGAGATACTTTAAAAAAACTTGGTAATAAATGTGAACAGAATTTCAGAAATTATATCTCAGAAAAGTAGGAAAAAGAAAAGGGAAAAAAAACAAGTCAATAACACAAGTACTAAAATGCTAAACTTTAACAAATCAATAATTATATTAAAGTCAATAAATACAGAGAAATACATGGAATATGCAGCATGGAGAGGAAGGAATAACTCAATCATACAGGTACTAAAAGAGCCTCATTTAAAATACAATCATTTATGACAACTGACAGCAATGGGATGAGAAAAAATGTCACGCAAGCATAATTTTTGAAACAAGACAAGAAAGCAAATAATTTTACCCAGAACAAAGAAAGACATTACATAATGTTCATTTAGAAAATGAACGAACAAAATTTAATACAACTAGAGGAAAAATAGGAGACAAAAAGGCACAAATAATTAGGCATATCATACATTCCATTCTCTGCAATCAGCTATAATTATGAAACAGAAAATCTTCAAGATAAAGGTAAACTCAACTATATACCAATATAGGTATATGCAGGATCAACGTGACACTTTGAGTAATCTCAAACATAGAGTAATCTCCTCAGAGTGTCCACGAAATAGTCATACAGACTAACTCCTACAGCATAAGATAAACCTTATCAGAAAGAACTGAAACCATATATTGTGCTCTGTAACGAAATGAAATAAAAAAATAAAACAGTGAGAAAAAGGAGGAAAATTTCGGAAACTGAACAACAAAGAAGACTCAACAAAAAATTTTAAAGTACATATAAAATATAGAAGTGAACATATCTGCAGGATGCAGCCAAAGCAGTGTTAAAAGGTAAACTTATACACCTCAATGCTTACATTAACAGAAAAGGAAAAGTTTCAAAGCAGCCATGTAAGCACTCCTCTAAGAATAAATCAGAGAAAAGCAGTAATACCAGTTAGAGTAGAAATCTATACATTGCACACAGAAAACAGAATTAGAGAAACAAAAATTTGATTCTTTTAAAATAATAAAATTGCCAACATCTAACAAGACTAACAAAGAAAAGGAGACAGAAACCATCCATTACATAATTGAAACTGGGGAAATCACTACACACTTAAGAAAAATGACTGGAATGGAAAATGTACCCGTAGGACTCAACAGTACCAATGTGGCACAACAGCACAGATAAACTGAAAAACAACAACAAAAAAGTAAACTTCAAAGCAAATAAAAAGGCAATATAACCTGAATAACATGGAGAAAAAAAGGAAGAAAAATATTATTAAGGTCCTCAGAAAAATGTAGGGCATTATTAAACACACTAATGTATGTGTAATGACAAAAGACAGGAAAAAATATATTCAATGAAATATGTGTGTAAATACTCCCAATTTGATTAATGAAAGCACTTTTATTCACATGAAAAGTTTAGTGAAAATCCAAGTACAAAGAATATAATGAATCACACTAAGAAAGTATGGAAATGGGGAAGGGGGAAAAAAGCAACTCCAAAGCAGGAAGTAAAAAATGACTATTCTCATACAAGGAAATCTCAATAAGTAGCTGAGCTGCCATAAGAAAGAAATAATAAAAGCCAGAGAGCATTGGTTGATATATTCAAAGCACTAAAAGACTAAACTGTCTCAAAAAAAAAAAATCTTTCTTTATCCAGCATATCTTCAACAAAAAAAGGGGAAGACAAAGATACTAATGGCTATTATGGCAGCCATTTGGAAAGTAAACTACAAGATGCAAAATCTCTCTCAATCTCTCTCCTCTCCCCCATCTAACTGTCAAATATACATATACATGGGTCCTCAGATGAAGAATTAACTCTTTTACCTTAAGATACCAGAAAATGAAATTCGCAGATTTTACTTTGTCTATTTGAAGCCACTTGCTTCAAAATTAGCAGCTAACACATTCTACTGTTTTATTTTTAAAGATTTATTTATTTTTATTACAAAGTCAGATATACAGAGAGGAGAAAAAACAAAGAAGATCTTTCCTCCGATGATTCACTCCTCAAGTGACCACAATGGCCGGAGCTGTGCCAATCCGAAGCCGGGAATCAGGAACTTCTTTCCAGGTCTCCTACACAGGTGCAGGGTCCCAAAGCTTTGGGCCGTCCTTGACTGCTTTCCCAGGCCACAAGCAGGGAGCTGGATGGGAAGTGAGGCTGCCAGGATTAGAACCTGCGCCCATATGGGATCCTGGCACGTGCAAGGCAAGGACGTTAGCCACTAGACCACGCCGCCGGGCCCATTCTACTTTAAAACGAATTTTTCACCTGTAGCACAGGGCATCCCTTATGGGCATAGGTTCATGTCCTGGCTGTTCCACTTTCCATCCAGCTCCCTGCTTATGGCCTGAGAAAGCAGTGGAGAATTGTTTAGGGCCGTTAGTCCCTGTAGCCATGTAGGGGACGGGTGAGGCAGATCCTGGCTCTGGGTTTTGGATCAGCTCAGCTCTGGCCTTTGCAGCTGTCTGAAGAGTGAAGCTGGATGGAAAA